GGGGGGGGGGGGGGGGGGGGGGGGGGGGGGGGGGGGGGTTGGCACCATGCTGAACAACTGGTGTGTTCGTACGGCCAGCATGCCACCACAATGCTTGCAGCACCCAGGGGCTGCACAAGAAGGGAGGGGTACAAAACAGGCACCACCAACACTAGCACCAAAACATGCCCTCTTCGCCTATACAAACCCAACCACAACGCAAAAAAACGCCTCTGTTGCAGGCAACCACTTTTCCGGGCGCAGCTTTCGCATGCTCGGGGCGTAACCAAAACCTGCACAAAGCAAGCCCCCTTGTCTACACAATAACCACCGCTCTGTATCTAGGTGCCCGCCTCGTGATACCTCTATCGTGGGCAGCCACTTGTCGGGGCTGAGCTTCTGCATTCGGAGGCAGCCGTTCGCATCCACGAGCGGGTGGCCCGGGTTTGACACGTTGCGGTGGGTGCGGGGGAAGTCCACCCGGGGCGGCTCGAACGGGTGCCTGCGGCTGAAGGTGACCTTGAGGTCGTACACGAGGCCCTCCCAGCTGGTGCCCTTGCCGCCCGGGACGTCGAGGATCCACTTCAATATGCTGCCTTCCTCGGTCCGCACATTGGCGGTCTGTGACGGGGTGTGTGGAATTCATGCGCCAGGGGGACACGCAAACAGGAGAGAGCGACCGCAACGTGGGAACACGGAAGTGCGGCGAAGGGTTACGCATTTTCGATACCAAAAAATTAAACGCCGTCGTCGTTGGCCTGCTGCACATCGGCGCGTGCAGGACGAAAGGGCCGCCGTTACGAGACGGGACGCAGCGCCGTTTCGAACACGCAAGATCAAGTCCTCGGGAACAGCAAAAATTGAAAGCAGCCAGCCGATGCACGGACACTACGGAGAGCCATTGAGCCAAAGTGGTATTATAGCAACCCTTCGTGCAGGTGTCAATATGGCATGGGGGGTATTGCCTCCGGAATACTGCCCCATTCACAGCCCCCGAGTTTTCAACAAGATCCAAACATTTTCAATCATAACAATTGGCGCGTTTTCTGAACAAAAAACCGAGACGCATCCCTGTGAGTCGTGCATGTGCACGCGTTGTATGCAACGACGTCGTGTTGCACAATGCGATTGATGACACCATGGCGTTCAATTCAAGAAATAAAAACACGATGAGAAACCTCTTTCATACTTTAGGGGGTACGTGATCCTGCTAGTAGTAAATGTTCAGCATATCATTAGGAAACAAGCACGCGTCCATCATGAGGAAGTGGGACGTCGACGCTGCCTAGCATACGATGCCGGATGGGTGTCGTGCGTGGAGCTGGCCTCTCGCTCTATATTTCAGCCTGTTCGATCGGAGAGAATGGCCGTCTTCATGTTCGAAATGAGCTCTGGCTTGTGTCCTCCTGGGACGAGCCACTGCGGTTGTGGGCCACTAACGGTGGCACCGAGAGCGATGCTGAGTGGTGAGGGCTGATGCACGGGGGCGGACGGTCTGCTGTGCGAAGTCACGTCGGAGAGATGGCTGTGGCACAGATAGCAGGCAGTGAAGTCCCCTGAATTTTTATATTTCTGCTCATAGCTGCACATGAGTATGTATAGGAGTATGCATCTCCGAACGATTTACTCAAAGTTAAAGGCCACACACCGATCCGTCACGGGCGGGTTTGGGTCATGCAGCACTCCAAGCAACACCGGCCGCAGGCTTTGCATAGACCGTGGTTTCATAAAGCGCATCCCTCCGGTGACTCCAAAATCAGCCGTGCACAAAACAAAACGCAACCCAACCTCCTGACCTTGTACAAGTTTCGGAGCTCCTTCCTGATCGCCGCGATTTGATACAGTGAGGATCGTACACACAAATTTCTTTATTACGGCGTGAAACCCTGGATTTCCGAGAAGCTCAACGTGTTATCTCTGCCCTGCCGCACATATATGTGGATCCCGGCGGGAAGCACAACCCTCCCGCAGCAGGCGTGCTGCCTGTAGCTTGCTGTAGCAGCAGCAGCAGCACGTCCTAAATCAACGCCGCACCTGGTATTTTGGGTGTTGTCGAACTTCATCAAAGTCGTCCCTCAGGAGCTGTTCCTTCAGGGCTTCCATGGAGGAGCGTCCAGCAGGGCAGAGGGCTTTATATTTAGACAACTCACGCGCCAAGTTTCCTGCTATCCTCCGCCCTCGCGCGTTCCTTCCGGCTGCCTGCGTGCCCAACAATGGTTGAAGGCGGGGTGTCCGGATATCAGAGGTCGGGAGGTATAGGGTTGATTGTAAGGGGCTCCGTGACTACCATGTGCAACCATTGGGCAGATCGTGATGCTTTCCGTTGGGCAAGCCAATCGCAGCGCTACCGCTACAGCTACACATCGTTGACAATTCCTGACGCGGGGTGGCGACTGCAGTACTATGTACTGCTGATGTGCTACTACTGCTGTACTACAGTATGTTGCTCCGAGGCACCAACGATGCCGAGGTGAGGTGAAATTGGAGGCTGCAGCAGTAACCAACGTAGCTCAACGACTTCGATCATGGACAATAATACCTACGTGGAACATCGACCAGATAGATGGAGAAGAGAGTTGTTCCTCGGGTTCCAGTCTACCCAAGACACCACGGGAGCTGGAGCGATACTACAAGCACGGGCGGCCAACGGACATCGGTTGATGATTTGCCCGAACAGGAACAAACGCTCTCAGTTCCGATCTTCAACCGCCCGTGGATATGACTCCATTGGAGGGTTCGGGTGGAGAGCTCCAGCCTGTTCCCATGGAATTTCGGGCGGCGCATCCAGCTGGAGGGTCGCCCTTGCCGGGGAGGGGAAGTGTGGCTGCAGCAATTCGAGCTGCGCAAGCTGATAGAGGGGTGGCTGCACCCGGAGGAGGGGCGAGAGGAGAGATAGTGTCCCCGCCACCGTTGTTCTCGCTGTGCCCAGCTGCTCAAGGATTGCCTCGGCGGGGAGGGGGGGAAGTGGGGCGGTGAGCGGTGGGGGCGGGAGGGGTGATCCGTCGCATATCGCGCTGCGCCGGGTGGTGGGGGGTTGGTGGCGCTTGAGGCGGCTGGGAGGGTGGGCGGTCGTACGCACGCGCCATTTATTTCCTTCCGTATCTGATGACCCATCCATGTATGTGCACCCCAGACTTTTGTTGTTGTTGTTGTCGTTGTTGTTGTTGTTCCTCACATTATAAAAAATGGGGAGCCCGTGGCCTCAAAACCCGGCGCACACGACGCCGCGGGGAAACAAAACAAAATAGGGTGCAAACCACTCTGAAAAAGAAAACATCATCAAAAGAAAATAACAGGTACCGCACCGACCGTTCGAGAAACTCGCCCTCGGAAACCGATCAAAAAATAACAAACAACAAAAATGAAGGAGGACGCTTCCCACACCCGCCTAAAGGAAAAATCAAAGGGTAACGTACCAGCACCAGGCACTACGCACCAGTGCATGGGAATAACGGAGCAAACAGGACAAAGAGGCGGCAGATGGGCAGACAGCCAGATGTACAAAAACAAAAGCAACAACAGCAAAAGCGAGATCAAGGTACCCAACACAGCAGAGTAGGCAGGGAGGACATGAAAAAAGAAGAAACACAGCACAAAGGCCGAAGGCAATACAAAGGACATACATAAAGGAGTATGGCATTCAGCNTCTTCGGTCCTGAGATGGTCGTACTCTCTGCTTCTGCTTCCCTCGCGCGCTGGCGCTTCGCGGACGCTTCCGCCTCCTGCCTGTGCCATTTCCTCATAAGCCATGCCGCCCCGCCCTCGACCTTGTTGTACCACACCTCCGGGTCCTTGGCGCTCTTTTTCCATTTTCCCCCTTCCTTTTCGTCTCCCATGTTGAAGGCCACGAGGTCCTCTCCTAGACGAGACACCCAGTCGCTCTCCTGCCCGCCCCGGTATCCCACGCCACTATGTAAGAGCTTAATTTCCCGAATCCTTATGGAACATTTCGATCTTTGAAGCAAGCATACACAGCGCCGCGCATACGTTTTACGGTAAGGACTTAAGGGCGCGGGGGGGAATCGCACAACCTCCACTGAAGAATCCAGGAAACGCCTGCATATCTCAGACTTCCAAAGTCTTGCTCCAGTACGAAACTACGATCGGAAATTAAGCGTACGCCGCCGTCGCTTGTTGTGTACAATGTTAGTGTCGGAGATTGTAGCCCTTGTGATACTCTGATATTCACCGTCAGTGTATATACTTCAAGAGACGAAAGAAGTCCAGTACCCAGCCGGTTTTCCTTAACTCACTGAAAAGACTCCACCACATCCCGTTCGACTGCAGTATATCTTGAATGGATAGTCTGTGTGTGTAATTAGTTTTCCTGAAGACTAGCAGTCCGCGATTTTCCACACGATCCTTCTATCATCGAGATCGGTGTGCAACAAGCCAGGAGAAGCTGCTGTGCGGTCCGATTTTGAAACGCTTCAAGTACACAGCAACGGCGATTCAGCACCTATTATATTTGTGAGTGTGTGGGGCCGCGAACTTCAGCACAGCTCTTCCCTCACGTATCCTACTCGTCGCCATAGTCGATTTGAATGCCTGGGATCTGTTTGCGGCCTACGCCACTTATTTATCGGGTGAGACTGTTTTGGTGATGTATTAACTTCACGGGAGGTAGACGACCATCCTTCACACGGACGAAAGAGGGAGTGCTCAAAGAGCGGCTCCCACAGCAAGGAGGGGCCCCGTGAATCATCGCGGTGCCCCC